CTTTGACCTTCTAATTTTTTAGTTGAGGGAACAATCTGGTTTTCATGGAATCCCACATTTTTGTGAGTGTGTGTATGTTCTAAATAAACTCAACTAGGTCAGATGACTCATGATTTTCCATGGACTCCTTGACTTCATTTTCTGTCTAGATGCTAATTAATCAATCTTACTTGATCAGATAGACACTCTTGATTCCTTTATAAAAATCAACTGCTCACTAAGAAGGATGCATTTTATGTTTCTTTTTCATAAGCTTTTTTCCCCAGAGGTTTGCAAAAGTTTCATCAAATTGTGTAGCAGAAGTAAATACTTGAACCCCTTGTGGTTTCCTAGGCCAGCTGTTTTGTAGCTGCACTCCATGATTAAGGCTTGAAGAAGCAGGCAGAGAGATGAGAAATGCACATTGGAAGATTTAACAGGCATACTGGGAAATTCTTATTTTCTCTGCATTTCCATTCCTTCATAGGTAAACCAAATAAGAAAAACACTACCAAAAAGCCACTCAAAAGAATGTAATGCAAGATGACAAAGCCAAGTTTTACTTGAATCTGTTTCAAGAAAGTATCCTTACATTGCCATTCCTACATATGGAGCTTTAGTATAAAGCTGGAGCACACACAGGCAGGCTCCTATAAAACTGAGATGCACAATAAACTCTTTGTGAGGCAATATATTTCTATGCACGTGAGCAAATTTCAAAATACTTATGCCTTGATATTTTGGTGTAGTATTACCTTATACATTTGAGCATTAGTTTTGCTAGGATTTTCAAGTTTAGCCTTTACTTTGAACAGGGGAAGACTTTGAACCCCTTTGGGACATGCATCATTCTTCACACTACCCTGAAAAAGGGGCCAGCCATTAATAATTTAAGAGAGACACAGGTCCTATTTTTCTAGTATAAATCTATTCCAATAGCTGGTTTTAAATATATCCCTAGCAGCAAGAAGGTTTGAGAATCTTAGAGTAGTGCTTGCCTTTGCATTCTAGTTTGACGATTATGAAGAGATAGAATTCCATACAAGATGTTTGATAGTAAAGAAATGCAAAGATTGATGAAGTTTTGTAATCACTATCCTTCTTTACATATATCTTTACTTTTACCTATCATGCTGTTTTTACTTAAGAGTCATTGATTTTAGGTTTATACACAACTAGTTTATATGCCAAATGATATGAAATACCTTTTTGGACAGTTTTTCTTAGGTTTACTGGGGGATTTTCTTCTTTTTTTATGCCAAGAATAGGTAATATTTATGAACTTCTGGAGACAACACTTTGCTTCACTTTCCCAAAGTTGAAGATCAACCTAAAATGTTAAGTACAACCAAAATATCAGAACACGGAATTTTAAATGCTATTCCAAGGATTTACTATGGATTCGACTAAAGTTGTTTTTAAGGAATGACTTAAAAATTCAAGTAAGATTACAAATTTTAAAACTCAAGGAGGTTGTTTAAAGCACAAGTAATATTTCTTTTTCTAATTGCTATTGATGGAAAAAGATCACGAAACAAAGGCAATATATTTTCAGGTACTTTTGTTTTATTTCTTTTTATGTAAAGAAGAAATGTAAAGCCATGTAGGAGGAATCAGTTCAGGCAACACCTTTTGCACAGTTGCATCATTCTTCTTACCTGCTGGCCCCCAAATGGTCCAACTAGCACGGGAAATAGCCAGCATCTCTAGACACTTGGTAATGTGTCAGCAAGTTGAAATCGCTGCAGTTTACAATGATCCCCTCACTTTCTGACTCCTTCCCCTCTCACACAACTCTAGTTGATTTGTCTTTAAATAAAAAGATGAATAAAAAAATGCAGAACTGTCTACTTCAATAGAGTATGTGTGAGAGAATGTGAACAAAGGAGCAAATGACAGTGGCACTTCGTGACTCTGCTAGCATTTCTTTTCTACCCTTCTGATATACAAATACCTCTTAAATTATTTCATGATACTAATGGCAAGCAAGTGACTTTTAGAGGTATATAAAAGGTAAAATAAATATAAAGCAATGGGAAATGATAATTATAAATGGAATCCAGCATTATATGAATTTTTAAAATAAGAGTTAGGAAATGCAGCCAGAAAATTCTTTAGTATTTTTTCTTTCACAGTGTAGCCAAGAAGCAAACATCTATCTTTGCAGGAAAGAACCAGAATCTGGACTGTTTCCAGGCCATCCAGACAGCTATTTCAACTGGAACAAGTGACCTTTGCAACAGACCAGAACATAGCAGCCCGGCGAGACGGAGGGGAGGAAGAAGTCAGTTGGGAAGGGACCAGCATGTTCTTGTGAGTCCTCATTCGAAGAGGACAATAGAAACATAAGTGAAATTAAAACTTTTTTAAAAATCAATGAAAACTATGTACCCATATTATTGAAATCAAAGTCACAGTTTGAGCTTTTAACTATCATTCTTTAATACACAACTTCAGCAAATGTAATTCTCCATCCCTTTGAGTGCAAGGAATGCTCCTTAATTGCATAGTGTTTATCTTTGATTTTCTCATAGCCCTTTGAGGCTCAATAAGTATTCTTTTGTTTTCTTTACTAAATTGGGCCAGGTTTCCTTCGTGTATGATTCTATGGTGGTTGCTACATGCTTTTAGATTACCTATCATGAGCTTCATTTAGCAAATTATTGTTATATAGTATAAGTTGTAATAGTTGTGAAGAATTCATTGAGGAGGAGAAAATGGTTACGTTCTCTGAAGATTTATTTAGAAAGCATGTTGACTTTTTTCTTTCTAGCTAAGCATAAGAAATTTGAGTTTACATGGTTAGCAAGAAGCTTGCTAAAAGAATAATCAAACTTTTTTTTTCTGAATGCTTAAAAGTAAAGTGTAAGTTTGACTTCAAAGAGAATACAAAACTGTCAGGCAATCCTTCCTGAAAGATGGTTGAAGAATAAATACAAAAGCTTATTTGGAAACTTAATTAAATTAAGAAGATGTTTCCAAGATAATATTGATTTTTTTTTCAAATACATCAATAATGGCAAGCTGGTTAAGTCCAAGTGCTAAGAAAGTGTTGTGAGATTTCAGCAAGTTTCTAACAGAGACACAGATACGTACAATAGATTTCAAAGAATGCTTTATGATTCCTACACTGTTTAGCCAGATCTACTGAGACGAAAAGAGCAACACGTCAAAGTGTTAACACATGTTCTAAAGTGACCAAGAGTCGGCTGCAATGTGGAGGACTTGGGGTCAGTAAGATTTGCATGTGTCTCTGAACAAAAACCAGAAAATGTAGCTAAGGCAAATAAAGGAAAACGAGTTACTGCAAATTTCTGTTGTAACATTATGAACATATGACCATGATGACTGATTGGAAACAAAGAAACCAGAAAGTTGGCCATTTGATTTATCATGTGTTGTCAGAAAGATAAAAATGAGCCCTTGAGATCAATTTCTTCTTAGGTATTTCATCTTTTTTGTATATTATGGCACTATGATTTTGGAAAATAGTGCTGCTAGAGCCCACAGAGTGGGAAAAGTGAATCTAGAAAGACACAACACAGTCTGATACTTAAAGAACATCCAGGACTGGGGATAGAGCTCAGTGGTGTAGCGCCTGGCTGACAAGTGCAAGGTCATGAGTTTCATTCTTGGTACTATACATCCATATTTCAAAAAAATTTCACTTGAAAAAAAAATCTACCTTGGATGAATTAAAGAAAAATGATGCATTTGGACACAGGAATTCATGCAGTAGATTAACTTGGACCTTAGGTAGCAACGTGGAAGATATGGACCGGACTTAAAGTTTGTGGCAACTTTCCCAGGAAGGCATTAAAGGACAGGTTACTGACAGATTTGCCTGAAATTATCTTGGAGGTAGATGACACACCCTTCTGAGACCTACAGGCTTATGGGCATACCCATATCAGAAGCTGCTGCCTACATTAAGGTGGAATTTATGTGGAGTCTGAGATTTAGTTGTCAAAATTGAGTCCCAGATTATCAGAGCCTAAAATCCAAAATCATGAGTAAATCCTGAACTTGAAAATAAAGATGAAAATCCTGGAGGAGAAATTACTTGCAGTCAGCTTTTTCCTAGTTATGGTATCACAAAGAGTAAGAAAATCAGCATTTAGAAAGGTAATACATCAGAAATTCTATCTTAAAATGGATTCTTTTACGTTTTATGGGGAAAATAATCCAAAATATAAGAAACAAGAAGTGAAGAACACTATTGACCTTCTACCAGGCTGCTGAACTGTCCACTGGATAGCTGACACTGAGACACTCGGCAGTTCAAAGTACGCTGTTCTAAACAAAACTAAATTCAAATGCTCCCAGGCAAAGGCTCAGTTCACAGGGCATCTTAACACCCAGTGCTTTTCATTTATGAACTCATGTACTTCTCTCACTCTTCCTTCAATGACCATAAACTAAAGCAGTGATTTTATTAATTTAACAGCATCAGGTAGCACTCACTGGATATTTTCTTATATGCTAAGAGTAATACACCTATTCACCTAAAGTAAGTAATAAGTAGATTTTACTGAATCAATCGATGAGCTGTTCAGCATGTGAAGACTGTCCCCGTGAGAGCGGTGTCTCTAAAATGTAGAGCACCACATTTTGGGTAAGGGCAAAGCCTTCCCTGATTACACAGCTAGCCACGGCCCAAATCCTACTCCAAACCCACTTTTAAAAAATAGCAGCCATGATAACCTTTACATTTTTACTTGGCTAAAAGAGCCTGCAATTTTGCAAAGTGATATTTACATAAAGTGATTGTTATACCAGATGCTTCTGGTGACAGGCATTAAATGATGACTGCTCTCATCAGAAGGACCACGTTGATGTTTTCACCACTGAATAATGTCGCCCACAAAGCAAAAATGTGTCTGAGCTGTAAGAAATACAAAGTGAAGAGCCCCCCCATCTCTCTCCATCTAACTTATGACCAAGAAAACCTATCGTGTATGTATATAACATCAGGATGTCTGGAGATTATTTAATGAGTAAGGTATACAATTTAATTTATTTAAAATCATTTATTCTCAGCAAAATCAAACATATCATTGAGTTTACATAGAAATACGGTTTTCAACCAGATCATCATAAAAATGCACTGGTGAAATAAATGTTCATAATTGATGACCGATTACATACTATTTAATCATGCCAGTTGCAGAATTGATTACCATTAAAAACTGGTAAAGTAACATATCTTAAATATTGAAATATCATCTTAGTACTCTATTGTGTTACCATTGACAATAAATGGTCACTAAATATATACCTATTACATAAAGCTTTTTAAAGTACAATAAAAATACAAATTCTATCTGTTAAAAATAAGCCATATATGGCTTCAAAACATTCTCATTATATAAATCCCAAAATACTATTTGACAAACAGAATTATAAAGACTCTTCCTTATGAAACACACACGACCCTCTAGGGCACAACTTCTAATAACACAAACAGAAGGCTTGCATATACCATAGAACATTGTGGAGATACACACAAATATAATATTGCATAAGCATATTTGACTTTTCCTAGCGAAAATGTACCTTTAGTGTTTGAAAAACATTCTCATGTGTGAAATAATCTATCCATTTTTTATGGTTAGATCCAAGCTAAGCCCACATATTTATAATGTGTTTTTCTGTAAAACTGCTACATCATATTAGAAATTTTAACTGTAAAATTGTTGCAGAGCTATAGTTAGCCTGTTACACACTGGGCTAAGATATAGACAGCAAGTATTTTTAATGGGCAGCTTCCAGTAGCACATCAAGGACGAGCAGCCAGAGAATTTTACTGCTTACATCGACGATGAAGCTGAGGAGAAACTTGAGTTCTGTGAAAAATGAGATTCAACTTCAACAAAACAAATAAATCATGCTGCTAAATGTTTTGATACTTTACTGCCATATACTTTAGAAAACCAGTGTGACATCACAGAACAAACTTTGGTGAGGAACAAATATCATTATTAAAGAAGAATATATGAAAATAGTCCATATTTAGAGAGGACAAATATATTTGGTAAAGTAAGTCTGCATAATAGGTATGATACCTGTACACAGCATTCATTTCAAATACATTTAAAGGAAAGATCAGATCAGATGATGTTTAGATTTTACAGTAATGTTACAATACATTAGAAATGAGATTTTTTTAAACAATTTTGTTAACAATAAATGTTTTCCACAATCATCATTTATAAAATAAACATTTGAGTCTTTTAATAACATGATTTCATTACCTTGTATTTGCTTATATTCTAAATACATTTAATTATTAGAATGTACATGTTTATTTTATTGACTAAAAATTAGTGAAGAAGTGGCATGGAAAGCTAGCTTTTTTTTCCAGTGACATGAACAGCATTCTATATGTAAAATGACATCTATCTAGTAAACAGTGACATTTGCATTGGCTTGAAAATGGAACATGTTTAGTTTGGCATTGGTATGTCTCTTCAGAATTTTAAAAGTTATCATTTCAGGTATGGCTTTGGGGACCTCAGAAATAAACTAGCAGCCTGAAGAATGAATTCAAATTTCAAAATGCTAATTACTGAGACTACAGACAAAGCAGATCATTGGGATGATTGATGTTTAAATTAAAAGTCCACTGACAATAGAAACAAAAAGCAAAATAAGATATACACACTACACTATGTTGCTTTCAAAATAAAAGTTAGAGATCAACACTGAATGTGAAGGAATTTCACTGCAATAGTCTTTAAAACATTAAGATGTTCAAAAATATATTGGTACATTTATACACCTGTCTCAAAGTAATAATGCATAACATATATGGACATAGACGGATTTAACAAGAGGCAGCATCTCTCCTTCTTGTCGTCAGCACCTACTGTCTACTGGGTCCAAGTGAAACACTGTGCCTTCCAGAGTTAGTCCCATTTTGAACCCCTCCTATAAAACAGAATTTAAATGATTAATATACAAACCGCTATGACAAAATAAAATAAAATAGAATCAGTAAGCAAAAGTAACTATGAAGTTCAAATCTCTGTGCTTTGATCAACTAAGAAATAACTACCTGCCCTTTGACTTGTCAAATTTTTATATAGAGGCATCTCACTGAGACTATTCCATGCTCACTAGCATTTAAATGCTTTAGCATGAATGAGAATCCGATGGAAAAAGCTATATATAAAATTAAATAATTTTAATTCTTAAGTTTTGAATTTTCTTTATATAGAACCTACTTGATCTGTCATTCTTCTGTAGGTTAAATTCTGCTGTTGGCTTTAAACATCATGATTAATTTAAATATGACTAAAGTAGCTACCTTCCTAGATATCTTTTTTAAATTTCATCTTTTCTTCCTGCTTACCACTACCAAAAAGCTGCACAGAGTAACTGTTAGTACTGTGATCTCAGAACCCAAGCTGCCATGCAGTCCTGTGACTGCTTCCCAGTACACTGGGCCCCCTGGACATGCATTGGAAGTTAGGTGGCCAACAACTACTGTGCATGTGCATGGAACTGTGATGAATCTAGTGCTTCTTTTAACTCTTAGGATACTGAATTAAAGGTAATGGAAAGGACTGTGTCCTCCAAGCTCTTCCATGCTTTGCATCAGACACCTGAACTTGAGGCACCCCTGAGCCTTAAATCTCTGCGCGCTGGGTTAACGAGATGAAAAGCACTAACTGGAGTAGACCATGGCAAGGGCTCCCATGGCAGGTTGCCTTGTGGAAGTGTGGTGACACCCTGGTCACTTCCACTCAATAAGTGTTTCAATGTACTTCTAGTTGTACAAAATCCAAGTAAACGGGGCCAGGGAGATGGCTCAGTGGAATAAGCACTTCCTTGGCAAGCACAAGGGCCTGAGTTTAATTCACGGTTCCACAAAA